CTTCCTCAACCTTGAGAAGTGAGACCAGAATCGCTAGTCACTCCTGACAGGTAACCAAAGCCTAGGCTTGTTCGTAGGGAGGAATCACGTGCCACATGGCACATATATAAATCCCTTCTTGTCGTTCTTGCCCCCAAACAAAAATATATTAAAAAAAAAAGAAATTTGTAACTTACTGAACCGTCCACAGTAGCCGGTGGCCGGTAAAATCTATAAAGCTCTGACTACAAAAATAGGATAAAAGGAAGAAAAAAAACAGCGTGAACCGCGAGATAAAGTGACTTTTAGGTTTGTACCAATTAACGAGGAGGTTAAAGTTAAACAATTGTTAACTCCTAATTATTTGTTGTTAAGTACGTCGTCGAGCCGGTGCACAAGTTTTAACCGTGACGTTAATGATGACTGAGCGATTTCCAACTTCCGAGGTAAAATTAAAGAGGACCAAAATGTGGATTTGTGACTTGTGAGGAAGTTGACTAACGCCGTCCAGCTGACCCGGTTTCCCATTTGGGAGAGGGTTAACGAGTAGATAACGGCGTTTGTGTTTGGATAGGGCACGTGAATGTCAGTCGTCTGTAAAACACGCTGTGATTAGTCAAAATCAATGCCCCTCCGCGGTTGCTCTTTTTGAGAAGGGTACTTCACTTGTCCTTCAGCTCAGCTGAAAAAGGTTGAATTATTTCATAAAGTTATTGTAACAACCTCTCCGACGCTTGAATTAATATTTAAAATTTTTAACATAGAAAATTTAAATTTTGACTCAAAAAAAGTTTTTATGTTCTAATTTTTTGAATTAAATTTTTAGTTCGAAATTATAAAAAATAAATTTAGAATAATTTTTTTTTGTTAATGTAACTTCTAAAAAAATTATATAGACTATCCAGATTTAATGTTATAAATTTTTTTTTTAAGTACAACGATATATTTTATACTCAGGAGATGGAGAGTTTGGCTAAATCACATGAACAACTTAATTTGGTATCGAATTCGTCATTCACGTGATTCGAACTAAGACCTCTCACTTACAAGTAAAAGGAATATCACCAGACCATAGTACTAAATGCCGATTTTATGAACATTTTAACCTAAAAATATTTATGAACTTCTTGAATTATTTTTTTTATCCATAAAATCTTCAATTAAATGGTGATCTAGATGAGTAATTTCCAGTGGGGGAATTCTAGCAATCTTTCTGTTGACTTTCTCCATTCTCTAATTTATTGGATAATGTTATACGAGATCAGTTGACAATACGGAAAAATAAATTAATTAAAGTTACTCATTAACGATCAGTTTTATAAAAAATAAATAAATTTGAAATAGTCATTTTTAATATTACTAAATAAATAGACGAACCATGATAGTCAATTAGCACTAAAATTTTAACTATGTTGATCGAAAATTCACACGTGTTTCACGTCATTCAATTTGTGTTACTCACTTGTTACGATTGAAAATTCACTTAATTTGTGTTGCCTACGTGTTAGCATTGAGAATTCACCACACATGACGAGAGACCAAACCATGCAAGAGTTAAAAAAAAAAAGGTTGGCTACTTTCCATATTGCTAATTATATTTATGGTAAAACCCTCACTTTCTTCCTCTTTAAACAATAAACTTAAACAGTGCTTAAATATAGACGATTCTGATTATCGTACAACACACAAATAAGAAGGTTGATAGCATCTCCAAAGTATAAGTTATGATGTCCTATTCGTACAAATAAACTCTTTTACTTGTACTTTAAGATTGAAAATTTGAGAGATCATTAACCAAAAAACCAAGAGCTCATTTTGATGTGCTTTTAAAATGACTAAAAACGTTTTTGGTGAAAATATTTTGGAATCAATCCTTAGTAAAAATGTCAATAAATCCTGGAAAAACACTTAAAATGTTTTCTGGAAGAAGCATATAACTGGTACTTCTTGCAGAAAGCACTTAAAGTGCTTTTGGAACCTAAAAACATTTTTTTCTAAAAACGCTTTTAGTCATTTTAAAAGCACATACAAACAAGCACCAAAACATGAGAGATTCATATTTTCTACCCAAACTAATTATTGATTTCATGAAAAAAAAAATGTGTTGACTTTCATATTTTAGGGCCATTCCAAAAATCTATGGATGATAGGTTTGCCACCAGATTCAACAAAAGCCGCTGCTTGCATATAATTTATATGGTTCAGAAACCTTTATCGCATTAATGGCGTGCCTAAGTTTTTCATAAACAAAGTTAGTTCATAGCTTTCTCAATAATTAGATAATTATTTTGGCCAAAGTAGGCACCTAGCTTGCTTTCTAAATTGTTATGGCCAATGAAAAACTGGGTTGCCATACTTAAATACATGTTCAATTAGATCAATTTTATTTAATGATTTAGGTTTTGGTTATGCTACGGTCAACCTATCAAAACTTATAGGCAATTTAGTAAGCTCATTAGCATCCCAAATATGACCATTTCATCCTAATTAACATATTTTCTTTGCTAATGAATTACGTTTCCGAGATTTTAAACAAAAAAAAGGTTTATTGTGGCCTGGATAGGATGCTAATGTCATTCACATTAACTTGAGTGAGTTCGATTTTTTTAACCCGATCTAGTATGAGTTCGATTTCTATAACTCTAGTGCGAGTTTGATGAAGCTGAGTTAAATTGAAGATTAACTTTTCCAATCCACTATAGAAGACCAAGGGACTTGGATCCTCTCCCGAGCTAATGGAGAGGATCCTCCTTATCAATCATCATTGGCCGTTGAATTTTTATCTAACGGCTACAAATAGGGAGTCCCTTTAAAATTATAATGATTGTAGCCGTTGAATAAAAATTCAACGGCCAAATATGATTGATGAGGAGAATCCTCTCCATTAGCTCAGGAGGAGAGGATTCAAATCCCTCTTGTAAAACCTAAAAATAAGACAAATAATGGAGTCAAATAATATAGGCAACAGTGCCATTGAAATTTCATGGGGCTAGGATTTGCTTGATTCTCTGTCTCTAGCTTCTCTGGGATTTTGGACTCCTAGGGATCGATGCAGCAATAATAATACACAATCACAAATCAGCCGGCGAAATGACCATTAAAGCCCTCCCGTCAATGATTCCAACCATTCAATAATATGGATTTGGATCCTCTCTTGAGCTAATGGAAAAGATCCTCCTGACTAATTATCGTGGATTGTTGGATTTTTATCCAACGGTTACAATTATTATAACTTTAAAGGGACTTCATGTTTGTAGCAGTTGGATAAAAATCCAACGGTCCACGATGATTGGTTAGGAGCAACCTCTCCATTAGCTCAGGAGAGGATCCAAATCCCAATAGTATAAAGATCAACTTCGGATCTTTGTATTAAAAAATCATGGACTAAAAAATTCGAATGATTCAATTTCAATCATACGATTCTTATTAACTCATTACATACTCTCACTTGATAAAAATTCTAAAAACTTGACCAATCCAGATCTTTCAGTCCGCAATCTTCAAATACAAACTTCTAGAATGAATCTCATCCGCATTCAATATGGGCATTATTTTTCTCAAACGGAATGGACCCCACACTGGAACGGATAGGAGCGGAGAGTGAGGGATCAAAGCTTTGGGGGGTCATCCTCCTAGCCTGTGACTCTCTGCACACTGCAGAAACACCAACCTCACTGTGCTGAGTAATAACCAATTCATGGCAATAACAAGTCGTTTCAAAAGGAATCACCAATTTGGAAATTTGTATTTTGCTTTGTCAAGTAAAGGTAAAAGGGTGTACAAGAGTAGGAAAAAAGATAGCACCCTCCAACCTATCCATTTCATTCCAAGATCTCCTCCCTACCCAAAAGTACAATAATATGGTACTGTGAGAGGTCCGAAATTGTACTATGCTTCGGTGTATTTTCAAGATCGTAACTTATTAGTCATTACATCTTGATAGTTAGACCGTTGATTAATGATTTAATGACTAAAATTTTCGGTATATTAACAAAGCCAAAACATAAAAGATTTAACAGTTGAAAAACATGATTTACACGGTATACCAAAGTTACTATTCGGTTCAAAACGTGGCCTACTTCATCGTTATGGCACAAACACACAAAAAACAACACTTGCCCATCCGTTGATTTTTCAGGCTCACCAAACTCCCACCGTTTGGTCTCACCCTCATCTATTTAGCCATAGTCCGAGTGCCACACAAAAGAGTCTCACCAAAATTAGAGCATACAGAGAAATTAAGGAGTCATTTCGTAGAAATTTTGTAGAAACATTCAATTTAGTAATACCTTTTTTTATCTGCAAGTAAAAAGTTTTAAATTCATATGTAACTTCGAGTTTGAATTCACATCTCTAGATTCTAGTCTAGTGTAAGTGTGCCTTTATGTCATATTAGATAGAGGAGTTGTGCGTGCAGCAGAGGTCGGTGTCCGGTCCAAACATGGAAATGGGGGCAGTGATGCCTCAATTCCAAGAGCGGGTCCCGTTGACATGTTACTAGAAAGGTAAAATTAAAAACAACCTCCACTTGCCGGTCACCTAATTAAAAATGTTAATCCCAATGGCATCAATCTTCTAATTTTTTTTTCCCAATTAAAGTATAAATATCATAAATAAATGTTGATAATAACGGAAGGGAAAGGATGCCTCTGTTGTATATTGCCATTATATCCTAGATCTATCATCCTATAGGTAGAGCCGTAGAGGCCCAGAGAGAGAGAGAGAGTTCTAGAGAGAGAAACATTGGAGAGAAAGAGAGAGCATTGAATTTTGGCAAGAGCAGCGAAAGACTTTCCAATTGCTGTGTTGTGTTCTGAAAGAAAGAGAAAGCACAAAGGAGAACGCAGAGCAATTGATGCAGTAAGAAAAGCAGAAGCAGAAGTACTTCTTACTCAGAGGCTGCAGAGTAATAAGGGAAATGGAAACATGCGAAAGACCAAGGTGACAAGCCCATCTGCTTCTTCCTAAATCCCACTCCTTTCCAAATCAAACCCCCCTTTTTCTTTCTCCACAAGTGCTTATTCGAGAAGCAGATTTCGAGAGAGGCTCGAAAATGGTGACTGGCTGGCGAAGGGCCTTCTGCACATCCATCACCAAAGACAGAAACTCAAAAGTGCTTATTGAGAAGCAGCAGCAACATTACAACAACGACAATCAGCAGAGCCCCAGAATCAACTCCAAATTTGGATTCTTTTCCATCCCTTCAACCACACGCCTCCAATCTCAATCCCAAGCTCAATCTGTAGTCTCCAGCCCCGGCCTCCGCTGCCGAACCACCGCCACCAACACCCCCACTTACTCGCTACCCAACTCCCCAAAACTCCAATGCAACGTCTCCTCCGCCGCCACAACCCCCAAAAAAGCCAGCAGCTACAGCCCTAGACTGCTTTTCCACTTCCAGCGATCCAACCCATCGTCCCCAAAATCCCCTTCCAGCTTCTCCCTCCTCAAGTCCACCCTACGCCTCTCCAAAGTAAGCTTCTTTTTCCACAATCCGCTTTTCATAATTTCCTTTTTTTTTTTCTTTTTTTTTTTTTATAAAAAAAAAACATAGGAAAAAAAATTCAACTTTTAGTACCAAAAACATTATAGTGACGATTCCTTTTCCTTCTTTTTGCAGAGTAGATGCGGAATCTGCTTACAGAGTGTGAAAAGCGGTCAGGGCACCGCCATTTTTACGGCGGAGTGCTCCCATTCCTTCCACTTCGCCTGCATCTCCGCCCACGTCAAGAAGAACAGCCTCCTCCTGTGCCCCGTCTGCAGTACCGCCTGGAAGGAGCTGCCGTTAATCTCCGTCCACAAACAACAAGCCCAACACAAACCGCCGCCCATTTCATCGCCCAAGAAGCCCAGAGACGTCAAGACTAAGCCTCTGAGAGTTTACAATGACGATGAGCCGCTTTCGTCCCCAACTTCCGGTTCCCGCTTCAACCCAATACCAGAAGAGAACGACGACGAAAACGAGGCCGTTGAATTCCAGGGTTTCTTTGTGAATACGAGTTCCAAGCCTCAATCGCGTTTTGCCTCGGCTGACCGGAATGTTAAGAATGTGGAGGTCAGTCTGTTGCCGGAATCGGCGGTTGTGGCTGTCGGGAGGAGTTATGAGACGCACGCGGTGGTTCTGAAGCTCAAAGCACCGCAAACCAATGAGTCCAAGACGGCGTCTTTAGAGCGTCGAGCTCCGATTGACTTGGTGACCGTGGTGGACGTGAGCGTAAGTGCGAGCAATGCGAAGATTCAGATGATGAAGCGAGCGATGCGACTTGTCGTTTCGTCGCTCCGCGACACCGACCGTCTCTCAATCGTCGCGTATTCCTCCACTTCGAAGAGGCTGCTACCGCTCCGGCGAATGACCTCTGCTGGTCGTCGTTCGGCGCGTCGGATTGTGGACGCGCTCTGTGGCGTCGGCGAGGGGATGTGTGTTAATGACGCGCTCAAGAAGGCCGCGAAGGTGATCCAAGACCGGCGCGAGAAAAACACCGTCGCGAGTATCATGCTTCTATTGGATGCCGTACAACCAGAAGCCACTCAGAAGCGATCTTATTCCCCCGTCGTGTCCTCCACGCGCCTCCCTCACCTCGACATCCCCGTCCACACCATCGCACTTGGGGATGGTTGCGACGACGAGCTAACGAAGTGCGTCGGAGGCTTACTACGCGTCATGGTCCAGGATCTCAGTCTCCAACTTGGTTTCGTTTCGGGTTCAAGCCCGGCCGAGATCGCCGCTGTGTATTCACTCACGGGTCGGCCCGCTGCTCTAGGATCCGGGTCGATCCGACTCGGAGATCTCTACGCCGGAGAGGAGCGAGAGTTGTTAGTCGAACTAAAAGTACCGGTTTCCGCCACCGGCGGGCCCCACTCATCCCAGAACGTGATGTCCGTGAGGTCCACACACAGGGACCCGTCGTCCAATGAGCTTGTGTATTCAAAAGAGCTGGTCCTCCTCGTACCTCGATCACAGACCGTCCGATCGTCATCGTCGAACCCAAACATCGAGCGGCTAAGGAACCTCCACGTGGCGGCAAGAGCGGTGGCGGAGTCGCGGAGGTTCGTGGAGAGGAGCAGCGACTTCTCGGGCGCGTACCACCTGCTATCGTCGGCGCGTACGTTGCTCGTGCAGTCGAGCTCGGCATCGGCGGAGGAGTTCCTCCGCGGCTTGGAGGGGGAGATGGCGGAGCTTCAGCGGCGGCGGCAGATTCAGCTGCTGGCGGAGGTTGAGGCGAAGCAAAGCAAGAAGGGATGCAATAATGGACACGCGGAGGAGAAGCAAGATCCGCTAACGCCGACGTCGGCTTGGCGCGCGGCTGAGAAATTGGCTAAGGTGGCTACGATGAGGAAGTCGATGAACAGAGTAAGCGACTTACACGGCTTCGAAAATGCCAGATTTTAGTTTAATTTATTTTTGATATATTTTGTAAGTGTAATACAAAAAGGAATATAATGATATTAAAAATTAAATGATGATGAGAAAAAATATTTCAAATAATGGGCCCAGGCCCATAATGGCAACAAGCAGTAACGGACGGCGTGGCCCTTTTGGAAGGGAGTGGATGGTGATAGTGATAGTCGAGAAAAAGAGAGAAAAAAGGAAAAAACATTGAACAAAACCCCACAAGAAAAAAATTATATGGAACGTTTTGTTGGTGGGGGTAACTCTTTTGGTTTTGTCTCTATCAATCAGTATATTCCCCACCAAAAACCCAAGGAGTTGTGCTTTATTAGTCGCATGGCGTCTTAGCCGTTGATGAAGGCGAGAGCTGCAGTGGGATCGATCATCATCAACGGCTATATCAGCATTTACATGCGACTGAAGCTAGCATTTCTTATACTTCAAACCCCAATAATGTGATATTTATTTAATCCATATATATATATATATTATGTAAAGGAGCAGAAGGGGATGGGTTATGGATTTTTTAAACGATGATGCATGTTTTTGTTTTTGGCTTTTTTTGGAAATGGTGGTTGGGTCTAATCAATAAAGAGGTGCAGGTGATAATGTATGGGTTCGGGTTTTGTAAGTTAGTCTGAGCTGGTGTGATGTTGGTGCGGTTTTTGGTGGGTTTAAAGACAAATTGGCCACCAAATGACTGACTCCATGACAAACAATCATGCTTTTGCAGCTGATGCCAAGGGCCAAAACAGTTTGAATATAGATTGTTTTTTTCTTTTTCTTTTCAATAATTCTATGCTGTTTCATAGTATACTTCTGGACTTTTCGATTGTATTTTTTGCATTTGCTTAAGAATTTTAGAGTTGAGGGGATTTGATTAGGCCTAATCAGTGTTCACCTTCTATGAACTAATTGGATTTTTTTTAACGGACACCAAGTGATTGATTTAATGAAAGGGGAATTTAGGACTAGATATGGATGATACATTGCATGTGTTCAAATTTGACTGCTTTTGGTCTTTTTTTTTTTTGGCTTATCATGTGTGGGGCACTTCTGAGATTTATTATCCTATTTTGTAAGGGTAGTGATTTATACATTCCTATCTTGCTTTAGCTATTAGATTGAATTAATCAAAAGAGAATCCGTAAATATAATTAAGCATAAGAGTGCAAAAGATTAAAAAGGAAATGCGAAAATCACTTCCTATTTTGTAAATCCCAATTCATTTGTTAGTTTATTATTTTGAAATTATTACATGTAGCTCAAGCTCAAGTAGATAAGACGTCTAACCATTCACCTGATGTCCTGTATTTGGATTCACCTTTCTCACTTGTATCACAAAAATAAAATATACATAAAATTAAAAACAAAAGGAGGAAAGGAAAGAGAGAGATGTGCACATGTTCCCTTTTCCATCATAATGTTAGGAGAGGAGGGTCATTCCCAATCAATGGAGATCCCACGATTGTCACAAATGAAATGGGGGTCATGAGAACTTGTTTGGATAGGATGCATGCACGTTACTTTAATACAAATTATATATAAGTATGCGTGTGTGTGTGTGTGTGTATGTATATAAGTTTGTATGATTGTATCACCACAACCACATTTAAGTTTCTGAATTGACATGCCATCTTCCCTACATATAACATATATTGGTTTGTGTGAATCTGCGTGATGCAACTATTATTGGCAAGGTCCTACAACTTGATATTTTTTTTTTTGAATAAATGATATGATCACACTATGGGGGAGAGGGGCGAGTTTAGCCTCATAATAGGCTAACAATAATGTTGTTCAAATTTGCTTTTGGCGAGAATCAAACTTAAGACCTCTCACTTGCAAATGAAAAGGAATATCACTAAATTGTAGTATTAAGTGGCTACAACTTGATATTTAAAACTCACTCAAATAACTTGTTTGCGGATATTCACTCTCCGAGAATGTCATTTTGTAATCAAACATCTATATTTTACAAAATGAGTGAAGAACGACAAACCAAGAGTATGAATTGTGTACATTGAAAGCTTGCGAGCAACCTGATTTACCAAAACAAACAGAAATGTTCTCTGGTCACCAAGTGAAAGCACATTCATTCATTCTCCACTTGTAATATCCAATCCAATTCTTAATCACCATACGACCAAGAGAACAAGACTCACAAAACAAAACTTGTAAATATATCAAGATGTCCAAATCTCCACCTTTAACCAGGAAATAATCACATGCTTCGTATAATTAAGAAATAATCTTCCCCTCCCCTGGAAGTAACTAGTAAGTAACTAATCACATGCTTATATTCATGGACCACTTACATTCCCATCATATTTACTCCTAATACTATGACTTGAGTTGCACGTTAGTAAAAAGTTAAAAAGGTAAAAATAATAAAAAGGTTCTCAAACACTTTAAAAGGCTAAATCTTTACATAAAGGGGAGGGAGGTGACAGTAACTTAAGCTTGCAAAAAGGGCTTTGATTTATTCTGAATCACTCTTCCTTCTTCCATGGTTCTCTTCTGGTCACTGGAAACACTTTTTAGGGGGAAACTCATCATTTCCTTAAATTTCGCACAATTTGGAAGCACTTTTTCCATGAGTGGCTGCTTTTTTTATTGCTGCTGCTGCTGCTGCTTTTCAAATGTGCTCATCTCAAAAGCACCACCAATATAATTTATATCCCAAAAGGCACATCCATATAAGCTTAACACTATAACTCTGCCTACATAATTCACCACCATGATATGATTACATGTGCGTGTGGAACTGTGGGGGTATCCTAGTTACCACAACGTGTGACATGAACAGGGATTCATAAGATTACGTAATTCGTTTGTTCGTGTTAGCGAGAAACAACTAAAGGATTAAACTATAGAATAAAACCGTTACTCTCTAGTGAAATAACAGTCCGGGTGATAACAGTATAGTTCACGGGTTCTTTCTTCAAAGCGGGGGTCTTTCGCTATGAATGGAGTTCAAGGGCTTATTTGTAAAGAACCCTCGTAAACATAAGAAATATCCAAGATGAATGAAACTTTTCTCAGATCATGGAGGCAACAAGAAAAGAGGAAAGAAGCCAAAAGTGCCACTCATTATCTTTCCGGAACAACAAACGAGATAAGAATCCAAAGATCTATCTAAAATTTGTTTGCTAAGACAAGAAATGGAGAAAGCTGACCTGATTGAATTACTAAAAGTACAAATTTACTCTGAGTTGTGTTGGTAAAACAGATACATATAAGAGAAAAGTGAGAAATTATTGAACAGCCTTTGTAGTATCGGGTCAACACTTAAGGCCGAAGCCCGAGGAGCCCGCTACAGTTTACATTTCCCAACAGGAGATAGCAGCAGAAGTATAACTTACTCAGAAGGATGAGGCAGCATGTCCTTGTCTTGGGATCCAGATCATGATGCATTCAAATTATTCACAGGGAAGCGGATTTCTTTAACCGCCGGCCAGTAAAAAGAATTTACTATTTACAACAAATGCTTCAACAAACCAAACAAACTGGCTTTTGACACGGCATAACCACACATCCTAACTACACAACACAGCATGACTAGTTTCCACAAGCTTTACCCAGTGTGCAAGAAACACGGTTGTAACTAGTTCCTTTTGCAGATACATCAGAAAACAAGCGGCCTACACTGTGCTGAATTGACATCAGAAGGACAGTATGGACATTTGAAAGATTTTGTACCGTTCTTTGACATCTTCGTAATAGACTGCTTGCAGAGCACATGTCCACATGACATCAACATAGGTGGATTTTCTTCTGTTGATTGTTCCTTTGATACTGGACACACAAAAATAGAATGGAAATGAAACTCACAGTCTAAATCCACTGGTACAGGCAACTGCTTCATAGACTGCCATTCCTGTCTCTTTCCTGCCATTACATTCATAAACTTGAGAAGAGGTGGCAAACCACGAATCCCTGCCTCCATGGTCACACTCAACGGGCTCTTGTAAGACTGACCCAGAATATTGCAGAACTGCCTGGTTAGCTCCCCTGTCACTTTGTCCCAATTGGCTTGTGATAATAAGTGAGAGTATGGGGAGTGTTCAAGCCTTCCAGTCCACAGAAGAGCCCCCATGAGCTTTTGTATTTCAACCATATGGTCGGAAGCAAAAGGAGCAAGACAAGCTTTTGAATACTGGAGAGCTCTATCTCTATTTCCCTTTTGCACTAATTCAACAAATTGCAGTCTGTGAAGTTTCAGTAATAGGTCTGATCCATTTGGTTTGAGTTTATCAGAGTTAAACATGGCCCAGTTCAGTGCTGGCTCTAGATTCCGATGTTTCATTGCATCAAGTATCCCAAACAATTCCTGAAACTGAGATTTCATAGCCGATGCAGATTCTGATTCCCCAGTCTCACTTGTAAAACAATCACCAACTTCGAATAGGCCCTGCCGATAGAAATGGCTGCCAATTATCTCATTGACTGTGTGGGTATCAAAGTCAATGTTTCTATAAGCCTTGGATATATCAGGAACGAATGATTTCTCCAGAATCTTTGGATACTTGCTAAGTGCTAGGTTCAGTTCCTTCTGTGTGCTTTCCAACTGACTGAGTGGAGCTATATCTTGTAACTTGGCTTTAAGATCGGCAAGTGCAGACTTACAATCAATCTGAGATTCACGATCATTAGATGATTGTAGCTTCTGTAATGTCTGCTTGATTTCTTTGTCGATCAGATCGAACATTTCTTGAGCTTTAGAGCTTGACAGTTTTTGTTTCTTTGTAACACGATCAAATGCATCTTTAATGGCAGTCAGCTCCATTTTTATTTATACTACTGTAGTGGTATCAGCAGTAGTTTGTGATGGGAAATTAAGATGAAGGGATCTGCACAAAAAAGAGGAAAGAGTTCTTTTAAGCTTAAAACGTTAAAGCATAGTGTACAACTGTATCTTATGAAAATGCACATGAGAAATCAAAGGCCTGATTGGAAACAGCCAAATACATTCCTATACACAGACATTAAGAAGCAACATAAATAAGGTTAGCTTAACTTCACATGAAATAGTTTATTCTCAAAACACGAATAGAGAAATACACACCAAAAAAAAAAAGGATAGGGCTTTTCACATTTAAGGCCTTGATAACATCACACTTTACAGAAAAATAGTTGAAACTCAATACTTTAGAGAAAGACTTAACTTACTTCGTAACACCATAGGAATTTCACAACTAAGAATCATTTAGAACATGACAAGTGGATAGATGAGGGTTTTTATTTTCCTTCTCCAATTGAGCTCTTCAAGTGTTGTTCTAAAAAATAAAATTAAAAAAACCTTATAGTTAGGGTGTTTTTCTAATTTACAAAATAACGATATGGAAGAATAATGGGTGCGAAAGTTCATATTGATGGCTTAAAGCAAACGAAATATTCTTACAATGAAAATCTTCGGCGAACACAGCTAATCAGGTGTCACAAATTTACCAAAATGTAGAAGAGTCCCTTGACTCATTCAAATGATATGGAAAATTGTATTTCTCACATATTTTGGATACCATGTGATTTATAAGTGGCTTTAGTCTCCCTATGCTTTATTTCCTCCCAACGGGAGATACAGATCAACCATATGAGTTTGGAGCTAGTTAGGCATTGAACCCGTGCAGCAAGAGCTATGTCGAAGTCATCTTACACACTAGAACAAACAAAGATTGACGGTGCATTTCCAAATTCTTTCCACATTTGTCTATTGCCCCCAAAAACAGACAGCCACCTTAACATACAATAATTTGGATATGCAGTGTACATAAAGTGAAAGAAGTATGGTATTTGTGCAAAATATAATGTGAGAGTTAATTCCCTACACTAATCGCCTTTCACATTAGCAAGGTAAAAAATAGAGAGCTTAAAACGGGTGAAAAATCCAAGTCAGTTAAAAGACTAGAATTAAACACTTGCACTTAATCAAGCTTCTTCTTGGTTGTTACTGGGGAATTGTAAATCATTTACAGACGTATTATGGCACGAGAATACTAGATATCCTCCCCAGATTACAAACTGGTTCAAGGGTCAACCATTTTTTTATTTTAATATTTTATACAGTTATGTTTTAAACTACTCCAATCTACAGGGAGAGAGATTTGAACTCAGATTCAATGGAGGGAGCACACTGTACTTGCCAACTAGCCTAATTCGCAGCGGAAATCAGCAATATGGTATGAAAAGGGAAAGCCTTGACATACTAAAAGAACCGAAAAATTCGACATGCTGGGTCAATTTTTTTTAGGGTAATTAACATAACACTAAGTATTACGATGGTTGAACAGCTAAACTGCTATATAGAGAAGTCCAATACAAGCTTTAAGATTTGTTTTTTCTTTTTATTTCAGAAATCAAGCGATCGATAATTCCCTCTCTTTGAGATTTCAAGTGATGCATATGAATTAAACTGATCAACGCAAACTAAAGATTCATTGAACAATCACATCGGCTATTACCTTCAATCTTTCATCTTTTCTAACTTGCACAATTGAAAGAAATTTCATATTTCTGTGCCGTGAGAGAGAGAGAGAGAGATACCTTGAGATGAATTCAAAGTTGGGAGAGTAGTAGCGAAGGGTATCTGCACATCAGCCGGATATATGGCGAAAGAGAGTTGCAGATCGGCGAAAGAGATGGCGAATATGTGTGATTTAGGTTTTGTCAGTTGAAGTTCTAGGGCTCGATTTTGTAAGAACAATGACTATAAAGGGTAACACGCTACCAAAACTCTGTTTTATTTTTATTTTTCCCCGGATAATATTTTCTACTCTAAACACTTCATGGTCGATTAATAGAATTTCGTGTTTATAATCCAAAACAATTCATATTATATATTATTGTAAAAAAAAATCATCTCTGCAAAAAGAAAAAAAAAATCAAGTAAAGCTAAAGTCGTTTAGTCAATAAACTATAACAAATAAATAAACGTTGTCACATCTCGACCTGGGCGGGACCATTTACCGGGCCCGACTCTACTGTAGCACGATATTGTCTGCTTTGAACCCCGACCACACCCTCATGGTTTTGTTTTTGGAAACTCACACGAGAACTTCCCGATGGATCACCCATCTTGGGAATGCTCTCGCGCGCTACTCGCTTAACTTCGGAGTTTTCATGGAACCTGAAGCCAGTGAGCTCCCAAAAGGCCTTGTGCTAGATAAAGATGAGAATATAAATATAAGGATCACTCCCCTAGGCGATGTGGGATGTCACAATCCACCCCCTTAGGGGCCCGATGTCCTCGTCGGCACACACGCGACCAGGGTTAAGCTTTGATACCAAATTGTCACATCCCGGTCCGGGCAGGACCACTTCCCAGGGGGGACCACTTCCCGGGCCAAACTCTACCGTAGCACGATATTGCCTCAACCACGCCCTCATGGTTTTGTTTTTGGGAACTCACACGAGAACTTCCCGATGGGTCACCCATCCTGGGAATGCTCTCGTGCGCTACTCGCTTAACTTTGGAGTTCCCATGGAACCCGAAGCCAGTGAGCTCCCAAAAGGCCTCGTGCTAGGTAGAGATGAGAATATACATATAAGGATCACTCCCCTGGGCGATGTGGGATGTCACAATCCACCCTCCTTAGGGGTCCAACGTCCTCGTCGGCATACACGCGACCAGGTTTAGGCTCTAATACCAAATTGTCACATCCAGGCCTGGGGCGGATCACTTCCCAGCCCCGCTCCACCACAGTAGCACGATATTGTCCGCCTTGGGCTTACCATTCCCTCACGGTTTTGTTTTTGGGAACTCACGAGCAACTTCCCAGTGGGTCACCCATCATGGGATTACTCTATCCCCCTTCTCGCTTAACTTCGGAGTTCCTACAGAACTCGAAGCTAGTGAGCTCCCAAAAGGCCTCGTGCTAGGTAGAGATGAGAATATACATATAATAATCACTCCCCTGGGCGATGTGGGATGTCACAGACGTTTTGTAATGCTTTTACCGAATTCGTCCAATTGTTTTTATATAGTTCAATGGGTAAATTTTTAAGATTTTATTGATAATAAAAGCTATACATAATGCTTTATAATATTAACGGTTTCGATCATAGACACAAAGTTTTGTAAATCACTCACGAAATATTTCAAGGAGGAACGCCAAGTTAATTCCTTTTTCTTTTGTTTACCCTTTTTCTGCTTTTTGTTTGTTAAAAAAAAAAAAATTATTTGTTTCATCTTGGTAACTTGAAAATAAATCAAAGGATATAAGCCTAGGGGTGTTTTTGGACGGATCGAACCGGAAATAACACTTTCAATTCTCATTTCAAAATTTTGGAACGGGATCGGATTTTCAGAATCGGAGTAATTCTAAAAATTTTAAAAATTCACATCATTTATATTTTTTGATATTTCTTTGAACTTCCTCATAAATGCAATTTCTTGTATTTTCTTAATATTTAGTACATACTTGTGTATAAATTCAATTAACTTTTTGGTGTACTGGTAGGTTTATCCTTTTTTTAATATATATATATATATATATATATATATGTGTGTGCGCCATTTAGAACAACGGTCTAATGGTATTCCTCATTATAGTTTACATGACCCAAATGATGCAGCTTTGTAATATCGGGTCAACACTTAGGCCCCAAAGCCTGAGGCGCACATTAGAGTTTACATGACCCAGCAGGAGCAGTATAACTTACTCAGACGGATGAGGCAGCATGTCCTTGTCTTGGGGTCCAGATCATGATGCATTCAAATTAGCCCCAGGGGAAGTGGAGTTCTTTAACCGCCGGCCAGTAAAAGGAATTTTCTGTTTACAACAAATGCATCAACAAACCAAACAAACCGGCTTTTGACACTTTTGACACGGCACCATAACCACATATCGTAACTACACAACACAGCATGACTAGTTTCTACAAGCTGAACCCAGTTTGGGGAGAAACACGGTTGCAACTAGTTCCTTTTGCAGATGCATCAGAAAACAAGCGGCCTACACTGAACGGAATTGACATCGGAAGGACAGTATGGACACTTGAAAGATTTTGTACCGTTTTTTGACATCTTCGTAATAGACTGCTTGCAGAGCACATGTCCACATGACATCAACATAGGCAGATTTTCTTCTGTTGATTGTTCCTTTGATACTGGACACACAAAAATAGAATGGAAATGAAACTCACGGTCTAACTCCACTGGTACAGGTAACTGCTTCATAGACTGCCATTCCTGTCTCTTTCCTGCCATTACATTCATAAACTTGAGAAGAGGTGGCAAACCCTGAATCCCTGCCTCCATTGTCACACTCAACGGGCTCTTGTAAGACTGACCCAGAATATTGCAGAACTGCCTGGTTAGCTCCCCCGTCACTTTGTCCCAATTGGCTGGTGATAATAAGTGAGAGTATGGGGAGTGCTCAAGCCTTCCAGTCCACAGAAGACCCCCCATGAGCTTTTGTATTTCAGCCATATGGTCAGAAGCAAAGGGAGCAAGACAAGTTTTTGAATACTGGAGAGCCCCATCTCTATTTCCGTTTTGCACTATTTCGACAAATTGCAGACTGTGAAGTTTCAGTAATAGGTCTGATCCATTTGGTTTGAGTTTATCAGAGTTGGTCATGGCCCAGTTCAGTGCTGGCTCTAGATTCCGATGTTTCATTGCTTCAACTATCCCAAACAATTCCTGAAACTGAGATTTCATAGCGGCTGCAGATTCTGATTCCTCAGTCTCATTTATAAAACAGTCACCAACTTCGAATAGGCCCTGCCGATAGAAATGGCTGCCAATTATCTCATTAACTGTGTGGGTATCAAAGTCAATGTTTCTATAAGCCTTGGATATATCAGGAATGCAGGATTTCTCCAGAATCTTTGGATACTTGCTAAGTGCTAGGTTCAGTTCCTTCTGCGTGCTTTCCAACTGACTGAGTGGAGCTATATCTTTTAACTTGGCTTTAAGTTCAGCAAGAGCAGACTTACAATCAATCTGAGATTCACAATCATTAGATGATTGTAGCTTCTGTAATGTCTGCTTGATTTCTTTGTCGATCAGGTCGAACACTTCTTGAGCTTTAGAACTTGACAGCTTTTGTTTCTTTGTAACACGATCAAATGCATCTTTAATGGTGGTCAGCTCCATTTTTATTTATACCACTGTATCGGTATCAGCAGTAGTTTGGGATGAGAAATGAATGAACGGATCTACAAAAAAAGAGGAAAGAATTCCTACAAGCTTAAAACGTTAAAGCATAGCGTACAACTGTATCTGATAAAAATGCACACGAGAAATCAAAGGCCTGATTGGAAACTGCCAAATAAGTTCCTATACACAGACATTAAGAAACAACATAAATAAGGCTAGATTAACTTCACATGAAATAGTTTATTCTCAAAACACGAAAAGAGAAATACACCCCAAAAAAAAGGATAGGGCTTTTCACATTTAAGCCCTTGATAACATCACACTTAACAGTTAAAACTCAATACTTCAGAGAAAAAAATTAACTTACTTCGTAATTCCATAGGAATTTCACAACTAAGAATTATTTAGAACAGGACAAGTGGGTAGACAAGGGTTTTTATTTTCTTTCTCCAATTGAGGTGTTTTCTAATTTACAAAATAACAATATGGGAATATAATGGGCATCAAAGTTCATATTGATGGCTTAAAGCAAACGAAAAATTCTTACAAGGAAAATCTTCGGCGAACACAGGTAATCAGGTGTCACAAATTTATCAAAATGTAGAAGAGTCCCTTGACTCATTCAAATGATATGGAAAATCGTATTTCTCACATATTTTGGATACCATGTGATCTATAAGTGGCTTTAGTCTCCCTATGCTTTGTTTCCTCCCAACGGGGATACACATCAACCATATGAGTTCGGAGCTAGTTAGGCATTGGACCCATACGGCAAGGGCAATGGCATAAGTCATCTTACACACTAGAACAAACAAAGACTGACAGTGTATTTCCAAATTCTTTCCACAGTTGTCTATTGCCCCCAAAAACATACAGCCACCTTAACATACAATAATTTGGATATACAGTGTACATAAAGTGAAAGAACTATGGGATTTCTGTAAAATATAACGAGAGAGTTAATTCCCTACACTAATCGCCTTTCGAGTTAGGAAGGTAAAAATCAGAGAGCTTAAAAGGGTTAAAAATCTAAGTCCATTAAAAGATTTTGAATAATCACTTGCACTTATTTAGGCTTCTTCTTGGTTGTTACTAGGAAATTGTAAATCATTTACAGGCGTATTATGGCACGGGAATTCTATGATATTTTGTACGGCTATGTTTTAAACTACTCTAATCTACAGGGAGAGAGATTTGAACTCAGATTCAATGGAGGGAGCACACTGTACTGGCCAACTAGCCTAATCCGCAGCGGAAATCAGCAATATGGTAGGAAGAGGGAAAGCCTTGACATATAAAAAGAACCTAATTCGACATGTTGGGTCAATTTTTTTAGGGTAATTAACGTAATACCAAGTATAAAATACGATGATTGAACACCAACAGCAACACTGCCATATAGAGAAGTCCAATACAAGTTTGAAGCTTTTTTTCTTTTTGTTTCAGAAATCAAGCGATCGATAATTCTCTCTCTTTGAGATTTCAAGTGATGCATATGAATTAAATTGATTAACGGAAACTAAATATTCATTGAACAATCACATCTGCTATTACGTTAAATCTTTCATCTTTTTTAACTTGCATAATTGAAAGACATTTCATATTTCTGTGC